GATGCATAAATCTCAATTTCGAAAAATTGACTCTTATGACTGGTTTTGTGCTCCCTCCAGGGTCATATGCCATTTTGCTTTATGCAGTATGTGTGTAAAATGGCCATAAATGGGTTTTCCTATTATATACAATGTATCTAATTTGCATATTAATGTCTAATTGTGGCAACATTATTGTAATAATGGGAGTAATAATTAGCAAGACTTTCATAATAATATCTAATATTTCATAGGAGTATTGAAATATAATTTCTTTCCCTATTCGCTTGTTGCGTCTCCCAGAATGCCTAATAAACACTCTTTTAGTCCTGCTGTCCTCTACAGTGCTCATGAATGAAATCAATGTGCTGTTTCCTAACAGAAAGTCATATTCTGATTTGAAACCTCACTACATGAGATGTTTATTCCTGGGTCGCAGGAGCTTAAGCTAGCGGTCTCTGTGAGCTGGAGATGCTTCTGGTCACCTGATCAGCCCTGAACGCTGTCCGCCGTGCCGTTCCCGTAACCGCCTTTAGATTTCATCTGCGTCTGCACCGAGTCCACCTGCTCGACACACAGCAGAAAAATCAGTTCAGCACGACTCAGGATCTGCTCTGAGAACAGATCTGGGTCATTATTAGCCAAATCTGTTCTTTACTAATAAACACATGGAGTGTAGAGTGAAGCAAGTCATTCGTCATCATGCAAACACAGCTTATTTATGTGGCTTGTGCAGCAAAACAAATCTCACAAATCCTCGAGAATATTTCACAACAAAGACAATCATTGATTGATTAGAATTATATGTGACCCTGGAGCACAAAAGCAGTCATAAGGGAGCAAAAAAATCTAAATATTGAGAAAATCATCTTTAAAATTGTTCAAATGAAGTTCTTAGCAATGCATATTACTAATCAAAAATTAAGTTTTGATATATTTACGGTAGGAAATGTACAAAATATCTTCATGGAACATGATCTTTACTTAATATCCTAATGATTTTTGGCATAAAAGAAAAATGTATAATTTTGACCCATACAATGTATTGTTGGCTATTGCTACAAATATACCCCAGCGACTTAACACTGCTTTTGTGCTCCAGGCTCACATATGAGATGATTGCAAAACAGAAGGATGTTCTCTGGTGGTCTCAGACACTGTGTGTTTTTATGACTCATTATGTGCAGCAGGTAAAACACGTTCTCACGCATGAATCACAAGCAGCAGAAGAGCCACCAGGCAAACGTTACGATACACATAAGGCTAAAAAAACAAATTGATACATGGCAACAATATCCTGCAGGTTTCTTCTCCGCGTTTACAGTCGAGTGGACATGCATGCGGCTGGAGTTTGTTCGTTTCAATGGACAGGACAAACGCATATACAGACGCAATCACATTTATTTACACTCAGACATAAAGCACACATTTGTCAGCGGGAGGTATTGCTACCAAGAGAAAGTAACTGAAAGGGGAACGTCATTTGTTGAATGGGTGGGCAAGCTCACACACGGCGCTCAGCCAACACAAGCCACTCAATAGGCTTCTGAAGTATTTCTTGAAACGCCAACCAC